AGGGGGGGGGGGTTTATAGGCGCTACCAACTGATCCGGCAAACGGGTCTAGACCTTTTAGCGGAGTGGTTAGAGCGTCTGGTTATGAAGCTCTGGTGCCCGGGAGGTCGTTGGTTCAAACCCCGGCCCGGGACCAGAAGGGTTTTTACTGGCTCCTCCTGTTTCTTACAGTAGTAGGAAGAAAGGAAAGAACGAGGAAATGACTTAAGAAGTAATGAAGTGATCATGAGATAAATGAAATGAAGGTTAAAGTGGGATGTATTCATCTTAAGGCGACAATTGCTGTCAAGCTCAAGTTAGGAAACGTTCCTTATAAATGCTGATGTGCCATGTGCCTTTCACAAGGAATTACTAATAGATTTTAGATACAGGGTGTACAGAGTAGTAAGAACAACAGTTTCGCAAAGAAAATGGCTGTTTCTTGATCTGTACCTGTATCTGTATAACACAGTTATACGTACATTTTGTAGCCAGACATAACCACCCTTTGACGTAACACACTAGCTGGCTTTATACACCGAACGACTTGTTACGTCTGGCCAAGGAGGTTATACATAGTACATTATGACCTCTTTGGTCCAGCCTTAAATTTGCACATCCAACTGTAAGCATTGTACGTTTGAATCTATCAAGCGATAGTAACCCTTTGCACTTGGTGACAGCGAGTGACACTCTTCGATAGTTTTATAGGAAAGATGAGTTTTTGAACTACTCAATCCTTGGTTGATAATTCAGATACATTTCAAACATAATACTGTTTTGTTTTCTAAAACATGTTTTGTTGTGTTCTTTAGTAAAGGAGTACAGAGCTACTATTTTGCCATCGGGCTCAAGTAGCATATTCCTTAAAAACCTTAGTTTTTAGTACACAATAGATTACTTTTTGATTCAGGGTGTACAAAGTGATTAGCCTGGGTGCCATCCCCAGTAGTATTAGCCCGCTAACTTACTACCAGTGGTAGCTAGCGACATATAGAGCGTGCGAATACTAGTACTACTGGGGATGGCAACCAGGCTACAAGGTGATAGGAACCAATGTTGATACAAGAATATGTCCATACATACTATAACAGATGTATTTTAGCTACTAATACATTTTACACATTTCTTTTCTAAAACTACGTTTGCTGTGTCATTTTGTACAGGTGTGCAAAGCTACTTCTACGTAAACCACGAGAGTGACCCTCCTGATGGCATCCACAACCATGTCGACACCCGGGAAGAGCTCATGGCCTATGACCCTGTCCTGTACAACCTCATCCATGAAATCTTCCCTTGCGAGAATTATGTTGTCAATCGCTGTGTGAGAGGTGTGTTTGTTTGTTTGTATGTTTGTTTGTTTGTTTGAACCATTCTTTATTCATGAGAAGCTCAAGTTGGCATGCAGGTATGAGAATCTTTAACCGACCTGCATGTTGTTTGTTTGTTTGTTTGTTTGTTTGTTTAACCATTCTTTATTCGTGAGAAGCTCCAATCGGCCTGCACGTATGAGAAGCTCAAATCGGCCTGCATGTTGTTTATTTGTTTATTTGTTTGTTTGTTTGTTTGTTTGTTTGTTTCAACCATTCTTAACTAATGAGAAGCTGAAATCAGCCCCCAGGCCGGTTTTAAATTTCATTGAGGTCGTGAGGGAAAAACCGGTGCAATGGCCAAGTGGGTAGAATGCTCGCCTAGCATTCGGTAGGTCTTGAGTTCGATCCCCGGCCGAGTCATACCAACGACTTTAAAATTAAAAATGGTACATACTGCTTTCTCTGCTTAGCACTCAACATTTGGTAAAGAGTATGGGAGTTAAACACACACCACTACCAGTGGACTTGCCCCCTGCTGTAGTGATTGCACTTGCAATTGTGTGGCCCAATGGCTACTGAACCGGAGATGGGCGCCACCCTATGCACCACCTGGTGCGAGAAGGACTGTTTTAACTAACATGAGGGAAGGGCAATACAAAATATACCGAAAAGTTAAAACTTATATCATTTAAAGTCCTAATAAAATCTAATTGTACACACATGTTCCATGCTACAGGTACATGTCTCTTTTCACGGGTTTGCGAATACATCATTGCAAGAATCTTTAAGCACACCTTAAACATGCGTAAATGTGACATAAAGAAAGAAATAACCTTGACGCATGCTTTAAAGAGTGCTTAAAATGGATGTTGCAGTGTATATATAGAAACCATTTTTACCATGATTTGTCACAACAAATCTACACATGGACATCTGGTCCAATTCTTGTTCTCCTGGCAAATAGAAAAACTAGTTCTAAGAAAATAAGAGTAACAGGATGGTGTTTAGTGTATGATTTTGATACTAGACGTTTCTTTTATTAGTTATAACAACGTCACACTGAGGTTGACTTAATCTACACATGGACATCTGGTCTAATTCTTGTTCTCCTAGTAAATAGAAAAAGAAATTAGTTCTAAGAAAACAGAGTAACTGGATAATTTTAGTGAATGTTTTTGATACTAGGCGTTTCTTTTATTAGTTAGAACAACGTCACACTGAGGTTGACTTAATCTACACATGGACATGTGGTCTAATTCTTGTTCTCCTAGCAAAAAGAAAAAGAAACTACTTCTAAGAAAACAGAGTAACTGGATAATTTTAGTGTATGTTTTTGATACAAGACGTTTCTTTTAGTAGTTATAACAACGTCACACTGAGGTTGACTTAATCTACACATGGACATCTGGTCTAATTCTTGTTCTCCTAGCAAATAGAAAAAGAAATTAGTTCTAAGAAAACAGAGTAACTGGATGATGTTTAGTGTATGTTTTTGATACTAGACGTTTCTTTTATTAGTTATAACAACGTCACACTGAGGTTGACTTAATCTACACATGGACATGTGGTCTAATTCTTGTTCTCCTAGCAAATAGAAAAAGAAACTACTTCTAAGAAAACAGAGTAACTGGATGATGTTTAGTGTATGTTTTTGATACTAGGCGTTTCTTTTATTAGTTATAACAAAGTTACACTGAGGTTGACTTAATCTACACATGGACATCTGGTCCAATGCTTGTTCTCCTGGCAAATAGAAAAAGAAATTAGTTCTAAGAAAACAGAGTAACTGGATGATGTTTAGTGTATGTTTTTGATACTAGGCGTTTCTTTTATTAGTTATAACAAAGTTACACTGAGGTTGACTTAATCTACACATGGACATCTGGTCCAATTCTTGTTCTCCTGGCAAATAGAAAAACTAGTTCTAAGAAAATAAGAGTAACAGGATGATGTTTAGTGTATGTTTTTGATACTAGACGTTTCTTTTATTCGTTATAACAACGTCACACTGAGGTTGACTTCATCTAAACCTGAACATCTGGTCCAATTCTTGTTCTCCTAGCAAATAGAAAAAGAAACTAGTTCTAACAAAAAAGAGTAACTGGATAATTTTAGTGTATGTTTTTGATACTAGACGTTTCTTTTATTAGTTGTAACAAAGTTACACTGAGGTTGACTTAATCTACACATGGACATCTGGTCTAATTCTTGTTCTCCTAACAAATAGAAAAAGAAACTAGTTCTAAGAAAACAGAGTAACTGGATGATTTTAGTGTATGTTTTTGATACAAGACGTTTTTTTCACATATATTTTTAGTTTTTATTAATGATCTGGTGGACAATTTGCAAGCTGATGCCAACCTTTTTGCTGATGATACGTCACTTAAAGAAATTGTTTTAGACTCTCTAAATGACTTGTTTCAGCAAGTAGATTAAACCACGATCTAAGTGTAGTGAGTGGCTGGTCTGACCAGTGGTTGGTAACTTTTAATCCCCTAAAAACTGAAGTACTAGACGTTTCTTTCATTAGTAATAAAAACGTCACACTAAGATTGACTTTTTTGTTGGTTTTCCAGACTATGGTGCGTCGCAGATCAAGCTGGACTGCAAGAACGGGATCCCTCGCACCACTATCCAGGGAAGTACCATTTTCCAGTGAGTGATGCTCAGGTCACATTTCCAAACCGGGGCCCGACCGGGCTGTTTGTATGAACTAAAAATTAATAAGTCATATCAAGAATATACAGAAATGTTGCCTATGGTTTTCATCGAGCCGGGCTGTTTGTATGAATGAAAAATTGATAAGTCATATCAAGAAAATACAGAAATATTGCCGATGATTTTCGTCAAGCCGGGCTGTTTGTATGAATGTAAAATTGATAAGTCATATCAAGAAAATACAGAAATATTGCCTATGATTTTCATCAATCCGGGCTGTTTGTATGAATGAAAAATTGATAAGTAATATCAAGAATATACAGAAATGTTGCCTATGGTTTTTAACAAAAATTTGTCTGTGTTTGTTGAGTTACGCGTACTTTTTCGTTCCGAAAAGCTGCCCGGCCGGGCACCGTGTGGGAATTGGAACCTTAGCATGAAGCCATCAGCTTGCTTGATGAACTTAAAGCTGCATTTTGTAACTTTAGGACGGTATATAGAGAAAATTTATAGCCATTTCAAAGTAAGTTGAAAATCAACCAGACATCAGTGCAAATAAGTGCCATTCAGGAAGGGGAGGTGCCAAAATATGACACCTTGCCAGTGTGTAAAGAAGCTGAAAACACAGCCTACATTGCTTTGTTTACATTCTGGTGGTTTGTGGTGCCACCACAAACTGATTGCACCTCGTCTGGACTGTTTTACCACCAACCGTAAATGTCAGAAATGTGAGATAATTTCACAGATATGTTGAAAAGTGGAAGCAAATTACAATCACACAATTTTTCAATTAAAATGTCTCAATTTTTGGTTGAAAAACGTAACATAATGCCCCTTAAACTAAGAGCCGTTTGTCTGGTGTAGATATCCTAGCTAGCTAGCAAACCAAAGATTTTAAACTCTGTAACATATCTTAGGTCAATACGGTGATATACGCTAAAAATGATAAATTTTTGCTCTATAAAAATCCACTTGACAATTGCAAGTCGTTTGCATGCGAACTTAGATTTTAAATCAATGTTAAATGCTTGACTTATATGATCCGCATAAAAATTTGTCTAGTCGATGCTTAACTATATATTATGAATGATATATCGTATTTCTAGTTTTATAAATCTTTAAGTAAGCAAGCTTATTAGTAGTTTTTAAAGTATGTTTATCTTTAAATATTCTATTCTACTTTATCTCTCGCTATATATAATTTTCAAATCATAGAAAGGAAGTGAGATGAAGCTATTAGATTTATATGCTAAGTTAATAAATCGCGATATGTTTGCGGCTGTTTCCAAAGTATGTAGAGCTGACACGCAAAACAGTTTTATATAGTATAGTACATTAATTATCATGACTTATAGTTCAACATTATTATGTTTTCGACAATATACATATTTATCTATAGATAAGAAACATGCATTAGAACATCGGCACTTTGATGTTGCTTAAAGGAGTACTAACCTCCAGAAGGGGGTGCTATATTTCGACAGGCATTTATTTTTGGAAGTGAAAAATGCATATTATTTCACAGTATACCATTAAATGCCCATTTTGCGCGCAAGTCTTAAAACGCATCGAATCCAGGACAAACTCTCCAAATACCCTCAAAACTATCCCAGAATACACCACGCTATCCCATTGGTGTCTATGTTTTAAACAAAAAGTTACGTTACAGACCTCATTTCGGGGGCGATAAGAAAAATTCGTACCGTTTTGTGTTCTTTGTTATCTTACCAACCATTGTCCTTCTTGATGTCCTTATCGCCCCTCATTTATGCCGCAAATATTGACGATGAAAAAAACGGCGTAATCTAGTTATCCTTTCAATAAGTGGCGTAATCTAATTATCTGTTCAAGTAATATTTACATGCAAATAAGTTGAGAAAATCAAAACACGCAGGATGAAACTGGCTCCCACTGTATTCGACATCCTGATATTATAATATCCAAGCCACAGGTCAAGCAAAGTAAAACAAGTAATTTCTCAATAATCAGCATGTCTCCTACCATTTTCGCCGAAAAATGTGTATGTTGACCTGAAGTGTATGAGTACTGCGTAAGCCAGAGTTCCCGGATGTATCAATTGTGGTTCAGCATGGGGGGAAATGATATTAATATCACTTTACAAACATGCGCCGCGCAAGTCGTACAAGCAAAATTATGTAAAAAGTCGGCTAGTTATGTATTTATTGCAGCATGATGTATCGGAAAATAGCACTTCCTTCTGGAGGTTAGTACTCCTTTAAGGCCACAGCAAGCTAGTAATTTTTATGGATGACATCAGCGCGCGCATTAATTTTCGCCTGATTTTTTGGGGAAAAAAAGAAATTTTGTTGCGTTTTGACAGTGCTCAACGTGCCTAAAATGGGCAGAGATGTTGCCATGCCGGAAGGTGGATGGCAGATAACTATGAAGAGAGGAGACAAAAAGGCTCTGATTTAATGTTTTGTTTCTTACTTTGAAGCAGTGATATGTGATGCTGGCTGTGTAAATGTGATGTTCCTACTGAACTAAACCCATTTGTACAATGATTTCAAATTGTAAGACCCTTGTTTTTTTCCGGCCCGCCTTGTTTTTTTTTCGCCCGCTCGCATTAGATTTGGAATCTGGAGGATGTCATCCATAAATATTAATTGCTGTGGCCTAAAATTGACTAAAAAACTATTATCAAATTTTGCCAGACCTAATATTTCATTACTACTACGTTCTACGTTGTCATTCTTTCGCTGCTTGATACATGGATATAATAAAAAAAGCAATGTAATTGCGCACAGTTTATATTCTTAGATGGTCTCTCATGTCTTGTTTTCTATGTATATCGTTTATAGTATGTGTACAGGTGACGGGTGCTAGAGTATACAGTGCAATTTTACGGAATACAGTGCAATTTTGCGGAATACAGTACAATGGTATTAGTATACAGGGCAATTTTAGGGAATAGGGAGCAATTTTACTAGTATACAATTTTACTACTACAATTGCACTGTATACTAATACGATTGCACTGTATCCCGTAAAATCGCACTGTATACTAATACGATTGTTCTGTATTCCGTAAAATTGCATTGTATTAATAGGATTGGACTGTATTCCGTAAAATTGCACTGTATACTCTGGCACCCCTGGTGTAAGTATCTGAAGTATGTGTTCAGCTATGCGTTTGGCTTGTATACATTTAGCCAAGCTTGTATACATTTAGCCAAGGTTAACCGAAGTAGTAGTATACATTTAGCCAAGGTTAACCGAAGTAGTAGTAGTATACATTTAGCCAAGGTTAACAGAAGTAGTAGTATACATTTAGCCAAGGTTAACAGAAGTAGTAGTATACATTTAGCCAAGGTTAACAGAAGTAGTAGTATACATTTAGCCAAGATTAACAGAGGTAGTAGTATACATTTAGCCACGGTTAACAGAAGTAGTAGTATACATTTAGCCAAGGTTAACAGAAGTAGTAGTATACATTTAGCCAAGGTTAACAGAAGTAGTAGTATACATTTAGCCAAGGTTAACAGAAGTAGTAGTATACATTTAGCCAAGGTTAACAGAAGTAGTAGTATACATTTAGCCAAGGTTAACAGAAGTAGTAGTATACATTTAGCCAAGGTTGCCCAACTCACGAGAGTCTGTTTGTAACAAAAATCACTTACGGAAAACGGTTGCTTGTATCGTAAGCTGGTTGGAGCTATTCATGGTGGTACCCCAAAACAAATAAACAGACACCTCACGTAGCTTGTTTTGGGGCTATTTCAAACGCTTCAAGTATGAAATAGTGACAAAAATGTGCACAAAAACTAAATGTCATTACCTGGCAAATTTCCTCATCCAGAATGTTTTTGTTTTGTCGCCCTGAAATTGCATTGGGTTCCTTTAATTACCAGCCCTCTTTACAGTGTAAGCATGAAAGTTCATCTGTATTAGGCCACATCGACTTAATTTTATGGATGACATCCGCGCGCGCAATGATTTTTGCTTGTTCTAAAAAAAAAGGTTACGTCCTCCGAGGCTCTGGCCTGGCTGTAGGCTCTGGCCTGGCTCTAGGCCTGTAGTCCATGGTAGTTAGCGACAATACGGAGCCGATGGTAACTGGAGGATGGCACCCAGGCTACCGAAGCTCCACGACTCAAGACCAAGACTGTGCCGATTCATAAATTCCGCTAATATAAAAAGCCAGCATGTGCCGGCTTCTCGCATATGTCACTAAGTACTGCCGCAAAGTTACAATACCAGCTTTATATCCCTGTGGTTTAGCAACATTTTTATTTTTGGTCTAAATTTTTTTCGCCCGCGCGCACTAGTTTGTGGGTCTTCAGAGGATGTCATCCATAAAATTAAGGCGGTGTGGCCTTATTTGCAGTGTAATTGTTTTGTGGTTGTAGCCTCTACCAGGCTTCAGGGGACGGCTGGAAAGAGTAGAAATCGGCCAAATAGAGAGATAAGCATGCCAAGGGAGTTTGTCCGTTGAGAGAACATTTCGCCACACCCCAGAAATGTTCTCTCAAAGTGCGGCGAACTGTTCTCTCAACGGACAAACTCCCTTGGCATGCTTATCTCTCTATTTGGCCGATTTCTACTCTTTCCAGCCGCCTCCCCAAGCCTGGTAGAGATCGGCGCCCCTCAGTAATTACAATCAATTATAGTTAATCCTACCCACAGGCGTTTAAGGACGCAAAATTACAGGCAATAACTCAACACACCCTTCTATTGTCATCTTGCTTGCACTGACCTCAACTGACCTGACGTTTTTGTCTGTCCTTAGGCCAACACCGCCTTAATTTTATGGATGACATCCTCTGGAGACCCCCAAACTAGTGCGCGCGGGCGAATAAAAAAATTCCGGCCCAAAATAAAAATGCTACTAAACCACAGGAATACAAAGCTGGGAATTTGGGGCAGTACTTAGCGACGTATACGACATGCTGGCACATTTTTTTTGCGGAACTGTAGGTATGTACTGATTCGTCGAGATTCGGTAGCCTGGGTGCCCGGCTAACTACCATGGACTACCCAGACCTAGAGCCAGGCTAGAGCCTCGGTGGACGTGATCTTTTTTTTAATAACAGGCGAAAATCAATGCGCGCGCGGATATCATTCATAAAATTAAGTCGGTGTGGCCTTACGTACAGGCAATAACTCAACACAACCTTCTATTGTCATCATGCTTCCACTGACCTCAACTGACCTGACGTTTGTGTCTGTCCTTACATAAATCTTTCATGGTCGTCACTTAGGCCATGTTGATTTGATTATATGGACGACATCCGCGCGCGCATGAATTTTCGGCCGTTTCCAAAAAAATGTTTTCAACCATACTGTAAATCATACAAAACAGTTGCAAAAGAAGCAAATATATACCGTAAGTTGCAAAAAGAATATTTAAAAATGACACCAATGTCGTAGCTATATAGAATGCCTAAAAAAAGACGAAAATGTAAAGAAATGAATTTGATTAGCAGATTATTCGCCAAACCATACTCTGTGTCATTTCTTCAACTACGGTAGATTTCATAATGAAAGCAACTTTTTTTTTGCAATTTTTTTTTTATTTGCACGCGCGCATCAGTTTTGGGATTCCCAGAGGATGTCATCCATATAATCAAATCAACATGGCCTTACCAATGACGCACTAAGGCCCTAGCTTGCGTCATTGAGGTACACGTTTTACGATGTGCCATATGGAACCATTTAAAAGTTTAATGATGTCAGTACGGATTCTTTCGCACGCAACTTCCAGCAATTAAAGAAGCAGATGTTATTTGAAAGATCTTTGGTCATGACCTTTGGTGAACTGACGTAGGGTGATCGAGACTACCAGTATACAGTTGTAAGGCCACACCGAGTTAATTTTATGGATGACATTCTTTGAAGACCCCCAAACTAGTGCGCGCGGGCGAATAAAAAAACTTCCGGCCAAAAGTAAAAATGCTATTAAACCACACGAATACAAAGCTGGTATTGTGAATTTGCGGCAGTACATAGCGACGTATACGACAAGCCGGTACATGCTGTTTTTTTGCGGAATTCATGAATCGGCACTGTAGGTATGTTCTGATCGAGTTCTTGAGTCGTGGAGCTTCGGTAGCCTCTGTGCCATCCACTGAAGTTATCGCCGCCATATTGTCGCTAACTACCATAGACTACCCAGGCCTAGAGCCAGGCCAGAGCCTTGAAGGACGTGATCTTTTTTTTTGAGAATAGGCGAAAACCAATGCGCGCGTTGATGTCATCCATAAAATTAAGTCGGTGTGGCCTGATGTAATTTCAGCGTGGCAAAACAAGAAACAAAATTATTCTGGACGAGGAAATCTGTCTGATAATTACATTTACTGTCATTTCTTAGAACGTTTTAGTCATCATTTCATACTTAAGGCATCTAAAATAGCCCAACTGAAACAATCTAGGTAAGACGTCCCTTTCTTTTTTTGGTACCACCCCTAAATAGCTGTAATTTTATAAGCTAAGCAGTCTAAAATACAAACTATTGAACATGCAAACGTTTTCTTTCTTTTAGACAAGCATCGCATTTTTGCCTCACACAGATCAGTTATGGGATAGAATTAACTTACTACATTAACAGAATGACCATAAAATTGATTTTGAAAATACAGTTTTACCTCCCTGGAATTACATTGGATGCCTATAATATAGAAAGATACAGTATTTCGAAAGCTGATCTCCAACCTTATACAAAGTTTTGAAGAAACTTAAGTCTTGAATTGGAGTGAAGAGAGGAGTGCTGTCCTATGTGAGAAAATAGATTAGGCTCGACAGCGAACTGTCTGTACCCGCGTCTGCTCACAAAATCGTCCATGACACCGTCCAATGGTATCCTGTCATGTTCCCTGTCGGCATGCAGGTGAGCCTTCAACTCCATAGCAGCGGCCCTGGGGTACAAAACTGCTGGCGTGCAACAGTCGTTGGCATCAATCATGAGATACAATTGTTTTGATATTCTTCTGAGCTCCAGACGATGTGGCCTTGAGATAGCAACAGCCACAAGAATACAACAGACAAAATTTGCAACGAAGAACATATTGCAGAACACGTAGGGTTTTCTGCAAGTTTGAACTATAAGGAAATGTACAAAACTAATAGTTGATGCGCCTACAACGCCGATACCAACAAGTTCTAATATATTGATGACGATTCGTTTCGGTTTTGTAGTGAAGAAGTCACGCTGAATGTACTGCGGAGAAAACAGCTTGATGATCGTTTTTGTGTAGTTATTTTCTGTCAGTTCAAAACCGCGGTATTTCTTTTCGAGCTTAGTCCGTATGATGTGTTCAATGATATCTAAGGTCCCGGGTGTTGCTAGAGTGTCGTCTTCGATGATAAGAACATACTCTGAATTGTAAGCGAGTGTTTGGTTCAAACAGTAAACGTAGTCGTCCTTTTCTTTCTGAAGTCTTCTTGGCAAAGACATCGGTTTCGTCGGCAAATTTGCCTTTTGGTATTTTGACACAACAGGCACAATGGAGGACAAGAAGACGGCATCAGAATTAGATAGCGGGTCGGAATCCACGTTACAAACGAGAAGACGGGTCCTGAGAGATGACTTTTCTTGATCTTGCAGTATCGCCGCCACAGTTTGGAGGAGGTATCCGGGGTTATACACGCTACCGTCCTGCATTTTTGGCTGCCGGTTCACTGTGACAAACCCCACGGCTACCCTCGTACCATCGGACTGTGTATCCAATGAGAGAGCGCTCGGAGATCCAACTTTTATTTTAGAAGTAAGAAACGTTTCGGCCTGTCTTCTTCGCTCATCGTTGACTCTCCGAGAGTAAGTGTTCGGGTCCGTACCTCTCATGTGTAGGTACTGATTGTAATAGATAGAGAAGTACATCCTGTGACACAGGGCGGGTAAGACAACGCAGAACACCAAGATGTAAAATTTGACCATCGACCACTTGTACACAAGGCGCGACATCGTAACCGTTTTATAGTTGGATAGCTCAGAAGACGTTTTTGAGCAAACCTGACATTGTCACAATAATATGGCGATGTGTCTTGTCCTTTTATCGTATACGATGGCACCGATTCTTTTGATTGTATCTTTGTAACCGATTTTAAACGCGTTCATTTTCTTTTGTGGCGTTCATCTTCAGACATTTTCTTGTGAAGTTCAGACTCCCTGAAGACACCTGTTGAAGGGAATTTTAAGAAGTAGTAAAATCGATGTAATCCCTTGCATGAAAGTTCATCTATGTTGGTACAAGTCATTATGAAATAAAGACTAAGCTTTAACTTCCAACACTTAGATTACAGAATTGGGACTTATCCCAAATTTTCGGTTGACTCCATCAACCTTGTTCACGGAATGGACCCGTCTACTCTTGGAACGTGACGTCAGAGACACGTGACCGTAGTAGCGGGTCATACGTGCCAGATAACTTGTGTCGCCCGCCGTCTCTGTTCAGGGTAGGTCTGTGAGCTCTTATGTAGACCGCCTCCTTCACTCCTCTTGCAAAGAAGTCCGATTCAGATTACGTGTCTCTGACGTCACGTTCCAAGGGTAGACGGGTCCATTCCGTGAACAAGGTTGATGGAGTCAACCGAAAATTTGGGGTAAGTCCCAATTCTGTAATCTAAGTGTTGGAAGTTAAAGCTTAGTCTTTATTTCATGATGTGATCCCTGCTTGTTGTAGGCGCCGAAAAAAAACAAGATGGCGGGGCTAAAAACAGGAAAACAATATGATAAAAAGACTACTACTCCTCCCCCAAACACTAAAGTAAATTATTCCCATTTAATTTCACATATTGATCCATTTTTAACTGTCATTTTTGTTTTGGGACACCAGTTTGCTGTTTTATTGTTTGTTTTCTTTGTTTTTTATTGAATATATTCTTATTTTCCAGTGGTGAGACTAATTAAAATTGTCTCTCTAAGCAGAGGTTGGTGGGGAAGACTGTTACCTTTCTATAAATGCGGCGTTTTTTTCTCTGTGTCTGTTGCTACCCCAACATATAGAAATGTAACAATGTTCCCCACCAACCTCTGCTTGGAGTGTAAATAAAATAAGCAATCTGCAATAGTTGTCCACCACTGAGTTTTGTACTCTTTATGTTATTTAATTTGGTTTTTAAAGAAAAAGCAGTAAAAAAACATAGCCTCTACCAGGCTTGGGGAGGCGGCTGGAAAGAGTAGAAATCGGCCAAATAGAGAGATAATCATGCCAAGGGAGTTTGTCCGTTTAGAGAACATTTGGCGGCGAACTGTTCTCTCAACTCCCTTGCCATGCTTATCTCTCTATTTGGCCGATTTCTACTCTTTCCAGACGCCTCCCCAAGCCTGGCATAGGCTATAAAAAACACACTAAAGCTTCCGAATCGGTAGTCTCCGCCTACCCAGTGCGTGTCAAAGGACACGGATTTGCCCAAGGCATGATTCTCGAAACGGCTGAACTACCATGACCTACTCTCAAAGCAGAGGTTGTTGGGAGGACATCGTTATACCTGTCTATATATGTTCCTTCTCACGTTTCTTCTTCTCCTTCTCCTCCTCCTGCCATTTTTGATTCAACTCCTTCATTTTGGGGCCAAATAATATGAAATTTGTCATGAAGGTAGAGTGGGCAAATACCCCCAGGTCGTTTTTTTTTCATTTTTGTGATACAGGCGTCCCTTTTTTGGTTTTATTTGAGCTTTTGGCTGTGTTATACTACATGTACTATAGCAGTGTGTTACCATACTTGGGCATGAGTCATCAGAATGGCATGTAGAGCAGGCAACCAATAGGCATGCAGCTTTCCTCTATTCTCTTTTCTGATTGGCTGTTCGGATCTGATTGGGTTAACTCAATTAACACCTGTACAAAGCCATGCCATATTGACAGTATGAACTTTATTCAAGTGTTTTGGGGTAGGTATGTAAAATTTTCCTGCACCAGCATTGGAATGCGGGGCATAAACGCTTCTTTTTGTCTTGAAAATCAACAGTTTGCATTATGCAACTAAAAATCCCAACCAATAATGTAGGGGATAGCTAACCAACTGTTGTCACTTCACACTATAGTTATATCAATGTAGAGAATTGCTTTCCCTTGTTGAATATATATATATATATATATATATATGTTTATATATATATATATGGGCTGCACATACAGTACCATCTATATATAGCAGTACCCTGTACTATATATATGTACAATTCGGGGGTATTTCTCGTGCAACACATCCCACCGCAGCTAAACGCAACGTGTGCGGAAGTAACTACGCCACCACAGGGCAAGAAAAGTCAAGGGAATATGACCTGGTTAATTATTTGAAAATATTGCGTAATAAATGTCAGGACAAGGGTGTGCATCTTGCGCAGTAAATAGTACGTATACACCACTATGTTCCGACCTATATCCTAGCAACGATATTTCGGAATATGTTATCTTCTATCAGGCTTCGGAAGCAGCTTGAAATGGTAGACATTGGCCAAATAGATCTAGACAGACAAAATGCCAGGTGAGTTGGTCTGCAAAGGACATTTCCAGCTACCATTTTGTTTGTCTATTTGGCCAATTTCTACGCTTTCTAGCAGCTTCCAAAGTCTGGTAGAGAGGTCGATCATTAACTATGGGCCGTCCTCAATTGTTGCATAGGGTTCAGAACGTAAATGCTAACCTGAAACGTGAAACACTTGGCACTGGACGACATTCACCATGTGTCCTCACCTCGGCCTCCGAACTTGTGTGGGTTTTCAGACAAGTGAACGTGCTGGAATGACAGAATCAAATGTAAAGAGCGTGTACAGCTGCACACTGGGTATTGTCAGCTGCTTGCATGCCGGAAATTCTGTTTACAAGTCGCCCGAGTTGTCTGTTGCGTGATCACGAGTGACCCCTTTTATATATACATGCTCATTGCTTCGTGTGTACACGACGGGGGAAACCAGTTGATCCAAAATGGTAGTCTCCAAGCAGATGTCTGGCGGCAAAAGCGTTACGGTTAGAACTGGCCAGCAAGAGAGAGTTCCCAGTCTCCCAGGCAGCTGCATAGCCTGGTTTTAAATTAATACCAGACCTATTTTAGCTCTCGAGTCATGACCACTCTGTATTAACTCAGTAACTATAGCACATTGTATAGTAGCCTAGTATAGTACCCTTCTAAGTTCCTCATGTATGTATGTCTAAGTCAAGTAGTGTATCTTTTGTCTCCAATTTTCTATATACGTTTGTTATGTGTCTGTTAAGTCTTGACCTGTACCTAGCCCGTCGTGGCATGAATGTACAATAAAGGTATTTCTTATTCTATTCTTGTGTACACGACGGAAACCTGTTTATCCAAAATGGTAGTCTCCAAGCAGATGTCTGGGCAAAAGCGTAACGGTTAGAACTGGCCAGCAAGAGAGAGTTCTCGGTCACCCAGACAGCTGCCTAGACTGGTTTAATACCAGACGTATTTTAGCTCTCGATTCATTATTCTGAAATAGAGGATAAAGACTCGGGAGCTATAAATAGGTCTGTAGAAAACCTGGTGTTATAAATGGTACCATAGATAGGATACAGACTAAGGAGTTAAAATCCTGAGTTCTGTCTGTCTGGTAAGCTTAGCCTCCTGTGCAGGCCCCGCGGCGGTGGGGAAGAGTTTTAAACGCATGTTTTTAATGTAGCCGGCCATCCTACATAGCCGCCGAGAGAAGGTTCCATTCCACCGCCGCGGGGCCTGCATAGGAGGCTATCTGGTGACCAAGTTAAAATCAGCCGTTACCTGCACAGGGAGGAGCACGTACTTTCATGTCCGGGTGGCCTAGGACTCTCTCGGGATGGACAGTTCTACAAGCCGGAACGCTCTTTCCTCTACTGGTCACCTGCCATATCAACAAAATGGCGTGAACATCACAACGTTCACTGAACCGAGAAGAAGACACTATACACACACATGTAGTTGACCTGTCCCTAGCAACAGCAACAGCCACTACTGGCGTAGCTGAAAAAGAACTGATCCTAGGGCAACATGACCAAAAGGCTCGTTGAGTGCGATGTTTGTTCTGTTTGGCCAATTATTAGCCAATACATTTGTACCAATAGTTAACCAGGCATGAGCATTAATGTTTAACCAGCGTTCACCTTTTTTCAATTCCCATGGTGCATGGCGCCAGGGGGTTGATATAACCTTGACGTTAAATAACTTGCTTTTTTGTGTTTTGAGGTGTTGGAGCGTTTTCAACGATGTTCAAAATTAAGAGACAAATGCAGGTTGAATTTGACAACAAATGGAGTGTGGAATTCGTGTGCTTTTTCCAGTGAACAGGGAATATTTGGGTTATAAATATGCAAATGATCTGCCAATGTTGTAATCTAGATGATATTGAGGATGAATGCCATTTTGTAGTGGATTGTACATTATATAGAAATGATAGGGAGTCCCTCTATACTTATATAGTATATAAGTTCGCAAGTTTTAGACATTTAGACAAAATAGAAAAATTCGCATTCCTAATGAAACTTGACAAACCATGTATCAATAGATCAATAAAACATGAGCTAATGATACATGGTTTGTCAAGTTTATGAATAAACAGGGAAAAAGAATACAGCAATAACATACATACTAAGGTGATCTACTATTTACAGTTTCAACTTCTTCTCGCTTCTTGACACGTGCACATTAGTATGTATAGTTTAATTGCTGTATTCTCTTTCCCTGTTTATTCATGGCCTGTACCTAGCTTGTTAGAGCACAAACGTACAATAAGGTCATTCATTAATTCATTTATTTAATTAATTCATTTATTAAATGTATAAATATAGCGATACTCCCGTCAACGCTCTACGCTAAATTTTGAGAGCTAGCTACGTATTACGCTGAATTCAGGAAACTTCTCGATAACCGCTTTAGGATAAATTCCAAGTGGCTACAACGCATTACGTAGAATCAAAACGGCAAAAACGATCTACGCAAAATGCGCCAATTAGCCTCTACGTTGAATTAGTATACGCTCTAGTAGAATCAAAACGGCTGATTATATGCTCTACGGAAAAGGGCATGTGGGCCCCCATATATTGCTGTAGGTGGGACTATGCTGTTGTACAGGCGTAGTAAAAAAGGAGATACAAAAGTTACTATTGATGTCTAGAAATAATTCAAGAAATGTTGCACGAGGCATTAAAGAGGCTATCTACATCAGGGTATTACAACCATACCTCAACAGAGACGGGGGGCGCCACAGACTTTCTGCAACCTATGATCCACTGCTCACAGAATCACGTGTTATCTGCGTGACGTCACGGAAGCGGTGGATTGCTCATTCCTTGACAAAGACTGGAGTTGTACAGTCGAAAATTTGGGTGAGTCCAATTTATTGTGTTGGAAATTGCAGTTCTACCAACATAGGTGGACTTTCAAAAAAAGAAATGTTGTAGTATATGATTATTAAGTTGGCAACCTCCATTATTTCAGACTCTGTTATCAAATAATGTACGTAAAAACGCAACAGGAACACATAATTCCAACGGCCTGGCTCTATGCAACATGGGAATTTTTACCCACTGGAGCTATACATCCTGGGAATGAGGAAAACTGTGAATGACGTGGTAGCCTTCTACCCACAAATTTAATCTCCAAGCAGATATTTGGGGTGTAAAGCTGCTAAAGAAGCCAATCAGGCAGTCTGCAAAAGCTATGAGGCCACACCGATTCAATCTTATGGATGACATCCGCACGCGCATTGATTTTCGCCTGTTCTAAAAAAAAATTACATCCTCCGAGGCTCTGGCCTGGCTCTATAGGCCTGGGTAGTCCATGGTAGCTAACGACAATACGGAGCTGGTAACTCTGGAGGATGGCACCCAGGCTACCGAAGCTTCACGACTCAAGAACTCAGTACATACATATACAGTGCCGATTCATAAATTCTGCAAAAAGCCAGCATGTGCCGGATTGTCGTATACGTCGCTATGTACTGCCGCAAATTCACAATACAAGCTTTGTATTCCTGTGGTTTAGTAGCATTTTTATTTTTGGCCGGAATTTTTTTATTCCCCCACGCGCACTAGTTTGTGGGTCTTCAGAGGATGTCATGCATACAATTAACTCGGTGTGGCCTTATATATTATTAATTGATAATAGTACATATTGTATAAGGTAAGGGGTGTCGTCAATATGTGAATAAGACCATTCAAGCTCATGTATTAGTAAATATGACTTAAGCATCTCATATATTTAAATAATTCATTTTGTAACAATTGAGGAGCGATAATAATATACTACACCTTCTCTTGTCAATTGTTATCATATACATGCACATACATACACATAAATCATGACATTATCACCATAGTCAAGAATTACAATCAGTAAAATAAAATCGCAATGAAAATGAATGACAATGACATTTATAATAGAAATATGAATCATTTAACAAACAATAACTTAGTCAAAAATTTTCATAAATTAACACCTCAAAAGACCTATAAGAGTTCCATGAATTTGCAAATTATCTAATAGTATGAAAATGAATACTATTCTTGTTTAAGACTACATTGGATAATAACTTGACATCTATGAGATTTGGCATCTCTAAGCATACAAATGGAAGGAAAGAATCAAACCTTCTATCTATATGTATGTAAACTATGTATAATTGAATAATTGATATACTATCAACAAATTGTTTAAAAAAAGTCCTGCATATGGCTGTTGCATAGGCCTGCCCATATATTATACATAGCAAAATTTTCGTTGACAGTTTGTCTATCTATATGATCTTTAGATTCTTTTAATAATTTATATTATTAAGTATGTGTTTTTATATAGTTTTATTTTATATCATTCACTTCATTCATATAATTAGGGACTAAATCACTTTTTGTAGACTTGATAAAAATTGAATTGAGAGCTGTGGAGAAAAAATTCAGGTGTTCAGTTCAGCCATAATAAACTATATTTGAGCTGTCAAATACATTTTGTGAAGTCTCCAAAACTTTCTGCATAGATACATGTTGGTATAGTGTGAACAAACATTGTTGCTCACACACAGATTTCTGTTTGTTGGGAGCAAACAAACAAACAAACAAACAGACCTTCCTTTCTATTGGTCTGTTCTGCATCCTTGTGGAAAAAATCTAATTTTTATGTTGTGTCTATTAAAGTTAATCTTATTATAATATTAGACACAACATCAAATTGCAATTATTAAAGGCAACAATTAGATATACATGTACCTGAGTATTAGGTCATTATTTTGATATGTTGCTTTTCTATTATTCTGTTGCAATAAAAACAGAACAATTCTTAATGATAAATATCAATATCTAAATCCTTCCGCTTATCCTAAAGTGCAAAATCCTACTTATCTATGGTGCAGATATAATAATTGGAAGGTGTATTGTACATAATTTCTATATACTACCATGGCATAATGGCTTTGACAGTAGTCACATTTTAATGTTAAGAAATTGTGACTGACATTCTATTGCTATAGTTACTAATATTTGTCAGTTTTTAGCCTATCGATATCAAAGCAATTTGTTTCAAGGATTCTTGTCCTAATGCTTCTTTAGTCTTTACTGTCAACATGTGAGATCAGTAGTTGATCTGATAGTTGTATATACAGAACATGTCATAGGATTTGTAAATTAGTTTAACCTTTTTTACACAATATTCTCAAATAACTTGATGTCTTCAGCCAAGTCATAGACCCTTGACTTTTTGTGCCCCGTGGTGGTTAGGTCCAAATTCATTGCATTTCCCTGCGGTGTGATACGTTGCATGAGAAATACCCCCAAATCATACATATACAGGGTGCTACATAGATGATACTTATATGCAACCCATATTCATGTATATGGGCTCTGCAGGACAAGGTTAACTATCTGTCTTCCATTTTTCTCTATTTATGCTTACTGAAGGAAGACATATTGTTTTTGCTACGTTTCTTCTTCTTCTCCAAACAGTGACCTCTGACCTGACTGAACCAGACTGTCTCTCACCATGGTAACTGGTGTTGGGTTACATAATGTTGTAATTTCATAGTGGGAGGGATTTAGACTCCTGTCACCATATATGTGTATGTGAATGTGTTTGAGTAAGAATTAACAGAGCAGACCATATGCGAAGGTAAACATTATGCTTTTGCTTTGCAAATGTTACTTTAAAATTTCTAGTTTTAACGCGTAAAATTAGTCACTAATCTAAGTTATATACTGTTCCAGCAGTACACTGTGTATTTCCAAACTCTTAGTTTGATGTAGTCAGGCTAGCATTTGGATCCTTAGGCCACACCAATTTAATTTGTTAGTTCTCAGATTTGCCTCTTCATTTTTTTCTGATTTGCAAAGAAAAAAAAAGATTCTGGTCCTGAATCAACTCAGAAATGCTCTTATTTTGCCACAAAAAGTTGAGGAAAGTCCTTTCCTACTTGTTACAATTTTTCCATCTATCAATGCGGTAGTTTGATTAAAAGTTCAAAATTCATTGTTTAAATTTCAACCCAGCCTTTTGAGTTGACTTCATGGCTCTTATTGAAGCATTTGGGGCTATAATAGGGTGCCTAGACCTGTTTTTATTTTTATTTTTTTTCGCCCTGTCACTTCATATTTTTTCTGAAAAAATCCGAGAACCAACAAATTGAATTGGTGTGGCCTTATGTACATGTAGTCATTGCTATAAAGCAGTGCAACATCAGGCTCTCAGGTTCCTCTTGAGTTGCTCCTGATCTGCCCTGCTAAAGCCGATAGACTCCAGGTAATCAGGAATGGACCCGTACCTGAAACAACAAGGGCTGAGAATTAATGTTAGGAAAACGTGAAAGCTACATGTGGGAAGAGACTCTTTTTACACAACCAAGTCTTTTATTCAGCCGACGTTTTGGTGACCGCCTGTCACCTTCCTCAGGGCAATTCTGACTGGTTCACATTGCACTGCAGCACTGAAGTTATTAGTAAACTGTTGTGGTGATGACATACATGTACTTTTGACAAGTATTTGAACCGATTGATGAAGAGACAGTGTGTCTTGAAAGCTCCTCAGATCCTGAGTAGCAGTTTCAGTTTCAGTTTATTACGATACCCTTTAGCCCGTTAGGGCTAATCTTCCAGGGCTCAATACACATTACACACAGTACAAATATACACATATGACTAAAAATGTACAATGTACATACACGTTGAGGTCACATGTCAGACAAGGTACTAATTATAGTTAAAATCATTGAACGAGCAAATTATCGGCTAAGTATAAAAGTAATATTACCATTACTAAAAGATTTCAATATAACAACTATCATCATAATTAAAAACCATTAAGTTGCATACATATACAATCTCTTCAACCGCCTCTCATCGGATACAGCCTTAACCTCATTTGGTAGTGCATTCCACAGCTTTACACATCTGCTCTTTTTTGCTGTGTGTATTATAATCGTTTCAAATACTTGTCAAAAGAAATTAAGCATTTCTAGGCAAGTGAGACAGTTACTGTTTGTCTATGTGGTCCAGCAGACCCCTCATGGTGTCCTTCTTGGCAGTGATGAAGCTGACGTCCATGTGAAATCGATCACAAACCTCCTTCTGCACCCGGCCAATGATTGGAGACAAACCAGCCTAGAGGGCAGTGACAAGCAGAAAAGATGAAATTGTAAAAGGCTTCTTAATCTTTATTTAGTAATCTTTAAAATAATCTTTATTTGCAAAATCTATACCGAATCCTAAATCCTAATTGCTATTAAGTACAGTGTCAAAGAAAGTCAAGTAAAGCAACAGGAGACATACAAATACTGTTTGATCAACTTATACTGTTATACTACTACCACTATACTATGTTTGCTATTATTATTTTGACTT